CAACAATTTTACTTCATTCATTTAACCGATCAAAGTACAAACAGAGGAAATTAAACATCCTCGAGCATCAATACAACGTAATTGAAATGCAATAAAATAAAGAGCAGATATATTATCGCAGAAGATGATAGACAACATATCCAAAGCATGCCTCAGATGCGTCAAGAGGGTCTTCGCGGCAAAGCCGGAAATTCTCAAGTTAGTCACTTTACCATGTGACTTTAAAATTCTCGGCATAAAGCACGGGAGTTCGACCACTCTCCATAAGAAGGAAGAAATTACGATCTGTCTCAAAGAGAAGGGCGAAGGTGGAGTTAAACTCGTCCGCCAAGAGTAAATTACAAGAAAACTTTTTTCTTCTCAAAGGAGAGAAGCTAATAAGCTCAACAGCAAGTATGATTTTTCCAAATCTGATTTTTGAAACTAATGAACCTACGCATTGATTAAATATAACATAACTTCTAATGGATCTTAATAAAAAACAGCTGGGCTTTGAAATACTCATAATCTTTTCATAGAATCCCACCTTTACACCATGCCCACAAAGCCCACGAAGGGAGGCAGATTGAGGTTGGCGGCTGTTGTTACCCTTTTCTGATGAGCAGAGCCATGGAGGTTCGGCAGCCTTCGCCGCGCCCGGATTCAATCTTCGATTAAGCAAGGTGGCCGAATTAAATATGGTTTCAACCTTTGCCACGAGACATATCTCGGCCGAGGAGGAGATGAAGGAAATCAGAGTCAGATGTGACTTACAAGCCCACAGAGCAGAGGATGAAACCCTAGGCTGAAGTTTGGGTTCGGATCCTGTAACAACACAATCAACTTTGCCGGCGGGAGAGGACACGATTAAGACTGGGGAGGCGTCTTTAAGTGAGATGGTCGGAGCAAATCCATAACACATCCCAAGGCAGGTAAGGTCGTGGAGGTGAGGATGAGATCTCAAACAATCGGAGGATTCAAAGTTTTGCGTCGGCGAACCCATACCGGAGCAAGAAGATTGATCCTCGAGGGAAATTGATACGGAGAGTTCATGGTGAGCTCTTGGGGAGGGGAGGAATCTTGTCGTCGCCGGAGCAGGGGTTGAATCCGGAGATTGAGAAGTGTTGTCGACAGTGAGTAATAGGCGGAGGTGATGGTACAGAGGCATATGCAGAGAAGCTGTGCCGCGACGCGATGGGTCTGGTGGCTCGCTCCGCTCTGGAGGGTCCGGTGGTTTAGGAGGAGGGGGATGGTTTTGCATCCCCGAGGCTGGAGTCACCCGAAGCCGGGATTGAAAGAGATTTCGATTAACTCGAGTTGAACTGTCCGGTGAGGACGAGAGGAATCGAAGCGAGTGACCAATCATCATCTCAAGCAGAAGATTATAACCAAGCTTCTTTACTGAAAGAGAGAGATGTTCCGTCGGGGAAACACGAGGAGATCCCGATGATACGATGGTCGCCGAGCTCAGGTCGTTAAGGAAACGGAACAGCAACGGCCATGAGCTTCCATTCTCAACAGCTGATGGTATACACGCGACTCCTCGAAAACCGTGCCTATTTGGCGATCTATCTATTTCATGGTTTATATTGACCAGTCCGATCTTGGAAAGAAACATGCCTTTGATTGAAACACTTTACAATTAAAATATTGTTATCTTCCTAAAATAAAACAAATTATGTATCTCTTTTTGGGTATTTGCATCAAAAGAAACAACCAATATGTAAAATTATTGGTTTGACATCGGGTCTGATGTATTGTAAAAGCTACTTTTTGTGCAAACCCAAAATCGAAAAGGACAACTTACAAATTAGAGATTTACAAAATTTCTGTGTATGTGCGAGAATATTAATTCATCTTTTGTATGCATTTTTTGTTGCTCTTGTTAGTTCTTTAAACCCGAATCTTTTAACGCTAGATTCTAAATTATTTGGAGCATGATTATATTTGTAAACTAGTTTTATGTTGTAATGATAAAAAGTTTTCATAGCAATACACTTCGATATAGACTCAAAATATTTTTGGGGTGAGCTATATATAACATTTGCAACAGTTGAGGGTCGATGTATATTGGTTGGCCATAGTAGTCAAGTCGACCATTTGTAAAAGCTCCACTAAAATTCAAATCTTGTAATGGCATTTACACGAATATATAAAAACTTCTCATTAAAAAAAAAAGAATATAGAAAAACTTCTTTTGACAAAGCGTTTATCCTCAAGAGTTACTAATGGTAAATTACAAAAAGGTTTTTGGTGGGTTTCTTTTGATTAAAGAGACCATGCATGGTGGAGTGGCAAGCACTTGATTGAAATGGTAAAGGGAAGCTTTAAAAGCAATGAAAGGTGCCAAACAAAACCTTCTTCTATAAGAAATCTACCACACGTTACATAGAGAATGAGAGTTTCGTATATATATAAACTCCGTACTTAGTTAAAAAAAAAGGAGAGTTTC